ACTCTTCAAAGCATCGATACATTTATACAACCCACTTGTTGTGAATTACGACAAAATTCAATATCAATTTGTGAGGAAAAGAACAATAGTAACCAAAATAAATGGTCTACAACAATAATAATTTGTACATAGGTAATATAACAGAATAAGGGAAGAAAAAATCGAAGGTTTGTTTACCCAGTTCGATCAAACGATCTACTCAGTGGGAGAAAGTAGCTCTCCAATTCACTATACTTAGAAAGTTCTTACAAGATATTACAGACGAGTTATAAGAAAATAACTTTCGCCTTCAGGTTCCCAAGAACAACCCTGAAGGCGCCCAAGAACAACCCTATTTTCTACCTAAGTGTTTCTCTACCTCTCCAACTCTCAATATATGAATCACTCAAACCCAATGTGTAATCCAAGGTTTTCTTTGTGTATAACTGGAACCCTATGATACGCCTTTAAACCATTGGTCTCCCTTTTTGGTGAAAACTCTAAGATTATCACACACTAAACATATAAGAGATGCATATTTATAATAACAAATACCCAACAAACAAAGCCCAAAATCACATGGATCCATGGACCGAATCGAAAAAGCCTGAAAACTCGAAAATATTATTCATCGTACGAACACACTATTCATCCGTACAGACGTCACTATTCATCATACTAATAGCACTATTCACCGACCGATTTTTTCCCTGACTTTTCGTTTGACTTTCTAAAACTTTTGATTTTTGCGGTAAATGCAATCTCCAAAATATGTTTTCTGTCTCTTCATCAACACAGGTTTTAAGACACATTTACAATATCAACCTTAGGCACTTAGATTTTTTTTTGTTCTAAGTTATATGATGTTTTTTCTTCCCTTGTATTGTTTTGCGCTTCTCTGAATTTAATATAACTTTTTGATTATGAATAAAAGGGGGAGTATAATTAGTATTTGATTTTTATATCATATCTAACTCTTTAGACACCATTGCTTACATTCTAACACACACACACACACACACACACACACACACACACACACACACACACACACACACACACACACACACACACACACACACACACACACACACACACACACACACACACACACATATATATATATATATATATATATATATATATATATATATATATATATATATATATATATATATATATATATATATATATATATATATATATATATATATATATATATATATATATATATATATATATATATATATATATATATATATATATATATATGCAAAGTATATGAATATCTTCTTTAAGGAACCGTATGAGATTTGATCAAGCTCTAATGAGTCGCTGCAAAAGTTTCAAATAAATCAAGCTCTGAGTCAACAAGGCTATGATATCTCTTAAGATTATTATTAATCAACCGAATTTTGACTTAGGGGGAGCTGGTATACCTCAGGGGGAGTTTTCTAACTTAACTCTGATATATTTTTGAAACTTTGATATCTTTTGCATATATACTCGTACATATTATTCCATAAAATACATGGTTTTGTCATAATAAAAAAGGGGGAGATTGTCAAAACAAGATTTTGGTTCTGCATTTAATCTCTAGTTTTGATGATTACAATACTTATATTTTTTATGCAACAAATCGGTACTCTAATGAAATTCTTAAGTATGTAATTGTTTAGTGAAAACTGATTCTGGATAACTCTCAAGAATTTCAAATCAGAATCTTAGGCATGTCTCAAAGAATCCATCTTGTTCTTTTCTGAAGAAACATCAACAATTTTGATGAATGCTTAATGCCTATGAAGATAAAGAAAGTGATATGTTCTTCTAAGAAGAGGTTTCTCTTCCAGCTCTGATAAACTACTCTGAAGACAAGGTTCTATTGAACGATGTTCTGAAGATTCTGAAGACATCATTTATAAAGTTCAAAATCTGAAGACTCTTAATACTATGTTCTGCTGAACATATTCTAAAGACTCTGAAGATAACACTTCTAAAGATCTTAAAGACACTGAAGACTCAAATATCACTCATTCTTTTATTCTCTGGTCTTACAAGATAAAAGTATTCAGAAAAGATGGACATGACAAAAACGTGTGATGGGAGTCTTCGTACGTGTAAACTTGTATATATCGATATAAACTGATTTTCAGTCAGTACTACTACATGGGATATGGTGAGACTTTGCTGCTATTATCTCTCACGGGTCAAATGTTACCGTTACAACAGTTGGGATTAATAGTTACGCTTTTACCCCTCAAGGCTTCAACGTCCAGCTATATATAAAGAGATCACTCCTTCTTGCAAAACAATAATTACACATACAAAAGAAGTGAAAACGCACACAATCTATTTTCTTATTCATATACACAAGAGTTGTTGCTCGTATTTGTGTAATCCCTTGTACTTAAACTTTTCTTTCATCTGCTTTATTGAAGCAACATTGTAAACAAACCCTTTGTATCTCCATTGATTTCTTTAAGTGACTAAGTGCTAGTCTGTAGAATTGAGAGGGCTAGATGTTTTTCTAAACACTTAGGCGAACTTGTTGTAATTTTTCTATATTATTGGATTAAGTCCTTGTTAAAGGAGAAATCACCTTGGCGGGTGGACTGGAGTAACTTAGTTAATAGTGAACCAGGATAAAATTATTTGTGTCCTTCTGTTCATTCTATCTTGTTATCCCTTTGTGTTAAAAGTTTTTAATAACTAAAGTTTTGTTAAAAACCCAATTCAAACTCTCATTTCTTGGGTTTTTCTCTACCTTTAGTTCAATCTTTTTGCATTGTTTTTTTAGCCTTGATGGAGGCATGGAAAATGAGTTATTCATATCCCCCATTCTAAGCTAGTTCAGTTTTGCCTTTTGTTTGAGGGTTTTTTCTTCCATATCATTCCAGTTGATAACTCCAATAGTGCAATTCTTCACATCCTCAATTTTGTTGACATTCATCCTATCATTATAAAAAGCATTTTGAGCAGCATACATAGCAGTCCTGGCTTATGCTATGTTTGGCGGATGTTTAAAACAGGTCTGCTGAGCTTTTTCAATATAGGTTGGATTCTCCTAACTTTTGCCAAAGAACAAACACAAGTCTGCCTACAATATGTTCATTCCAGCCCTGCCCAACAACGTCATTATAGCCATTCATATCTACCACATAATTCAGGATTTTGAAGCAAGTTCTTCTAATTTCCAGCTTGCCCTGCTTAGTCAAACAAAGAAGGGCGTGGTTTGAGACATTTGGAGGAAGGATTTTAAGAGTAGACATCAAGTTGTCTTGGAGTCATTCCAAATTTCCCAAAATCCTATCATCTTAGAATAGATAGCCACTATTGTTTGTTTGTTAGACCATGTACAATAATCACCAACACTATCTTTTTCAAATAAACTAACATTTCTCATCATGCTAGTAAGATATATGTATTAAGCGTCAGTCACCATTTTACCTCCAATATGATTCCTTGGATTGAATGACATTATTGAAATCCTATAGCAAATACCAAGCCCCTTCTTGGTTACCATGAATCTTCTCAATGTCAGTCACATAAAATCTTCCTCTGCTCAAGCATGTTAAGAGCATAAATCGTTGTTAGCCAATGTAATAGATTTCCACTCAAATGATAAACACCATAATCGATCAATTGGCTAATGATACAAACAAACTTGATATCAACCTTATTGGGATCCCAATGGACCCAAATCCTACCATTGGCATGGCACAAATTGTTATATATATATATATATATATATATATACCTTTCATGCAAGTTGAGTTTTCTTCTAACAGTAGTGGAATTAACTTGCTTAACCCTAATTTCAAGTAAGATACTTATAGTAGGTCCAAGCTCTCGGAGACGGGAGCTAATCCCCCTAAGCTTACCTGTCTTATTGAGCCCCCGGACGTTCCACGCCACTAACATGGATCTCCATCTAGAATCACTAGGGAGTCATTCAAAACGCCTAATGCCTCAAAAATATTGCCACAAGGAACCATTGGTGTGTTGCTCTCCATAACGCCTTTGCCATTGTCCCTTTAACTTTTGTTGATTTTGAATTCTTCGCCTTTTTTATCACACGCTGCGGATGACCCATCTTTGAGATGTTATGGTGATTTGTTTTCTTCCAATTGCTTTGGTTTTAGGATCCACATCTTCTTTGTCTTCATATGTTCACATTTTTGTCCAAAATTTTGACATTTATCACAAAAAAAAAAAAAAAGACTTCCATTCATACTCTCCCATGTTGTTTTAGTTTTCTATGTTATTTTATATTATCAAACCAATTTAATATTACATTTTATTAAATAAAAAAATTAAGCTAATTAGTTACTATTACTTAATTTATTGATTCCACTATAAAAAAAACTCAACTATTAATATTCCTTATTTTTTATATAATAATAATAATAATAATAATAATAATAATAATAATAATAATAATTTATATTGCTATGGTTGTGATGGTGAGATGAGGACTGAGGAGATATTTTCTAGAAAAGTGAAAAACAGCATAAACAATCTTTTCTTTTTTTTTTTAATTTTCAAAAAGTTCGAAAGGAATAGGAAGCAGCTTTGACCATCCCACTCTGAGCGGTAGCAGCAGGTTGAAGCTCACAATCCAACGATCAGCATTAAATACACTACAAAAAACCACCACCCCTAACCACAAGATGCGATTCAGAATTCAAATCGTCCATCAGAAATGGATTAGAAGAATCCGAAACCCTGGCCCACAAATATTAATTAAAAAAGCCCAATAAATATTTTATGCATATCCAAAAACATTGAATAGCACGAGAATTAATTATAGAAAAAAAATCTAAAAGAATAAACCACAACCGTTGGATCCATCCAAGTTAATTAACCTAGTAATAGATCGTAGGGTAAATACGCGCCGTTGGGTAATTGTAACTGCGAGTGGTGGATATATAAGAGAACGTTCACTTCACACTTTGTAGTCTCTTCTAGGGTTAAAGAAGCGCAGCTAGAAAAAAAGGGTATTGTGAAAAAAATTCGAAATCATGAGTTCTAGGTTATCTGGGAAGGTGAAGTGGTTCAATGATCAGAAGGGGTTTGGATTCATTACCCCTGATGATGGTACCGAGGAGCTTTTCGTTCACCAATCTCAGATCCAGACTGATGGTTTCCGGAGTCTCGCTGAAGGTGAATCTGTTGAGTATCAGGTTGAATCTGATACCGATGGACGATCCAAGGCTGTTCAGGTAACTGGTCCTGACGGTGCGTCTGTGCAGGGAAGCAAGCGTGGTGGTGGAGGTGGTGGATATGGTGGTGGAGGTGGTTATGGAGGTGGTGGTGGTTACAACAGTGGCGGTGGAGGTGGTTATGGTGGTAGCAGAGGCGGAGGTGGATATGGTGGAGGAGGTGGTGGATATGGTGGAGGAGGAGGTGGTTACGGTGGTGGTGGACGAGGAGGAGGACGTGGTGGAGGCGGCGGAGGTGGCGCTTGCTATAACTGTGGTGAATCAGGTCACATGGCGAGGGATTGCAGCCAGAGTGGAAGCGGTGGTGGAGGTGGTGGAAGATACGGAGGCGGTGGCGGTGGAGGCGGTGGTGGCGGTGGAAGCTGCTACAGCTGTGGAGAATCTGGTCACTTTGCGAGAGATTGCCCAACCAGTACCCGTTAGATCTCTGCGGATTACTTTTATGAGTAATGTGTTGGTGATTTAGTTGGTTTTAAGTTTCGGAGTCGCTTTTTTGGTTTTGATTTTATCTTTATATTTTGCAATAGTTTTAGGGTTTTTTGTGCTGGATCTATCTATTATGCGAACTCTTGGTTTTTATATTGAATGAATGAAATGTCGGGCTTATTTTGTTCAATTGGTTGTTTATATGGTTGGATCTGTGAAATGTGATTGTTAAATCTATGATCTCGAATAGTTTATATGCCTTGAATTTGTCAAATTTCATTTGATTGTTTGTGCCTTATGAACATTATGTTATATTATTTGTTATACTTAATTGTGTTGTTGTATTTATATTTCAGAAATTGTAACAGTTTTAATTTGATTAAACGTCGCTTATTCTCAAAACCATGCGTGTAAGTTTATATCATATTTTTTTGGATATGATTTTTCCGAGCGTTGGAACCTTTATTTTAAGTTTGAGATGCAAATGTTTTGCCATATTTTGAAGTTTCTGAGTTGCTGTTAACTACTTATTACTTTTATACTTAGGGTTTTAGTTGTTTACTGATTTTCAATCAACTAAACCTCATTCAGACTTTTTTCTGTTTTTATTCAAATATTTGCTTTTTAATTCCTCATGATAAACATGTTGATTGTAAAAGTACCTTACTATTTTTTATTTTAGTTTTACTAATTTTAAAAGTATTTGAAAAAAGTAACCGTGTAATCTATTTTTAACTTGTAAAGTTTAGGAGTTTAGACTGCATTATTGGATTGCTTTTTCTTTGTTTTATTATGTTTGATCTGTTTTTTGTATTCGAATTGAGATTTGGGAATATTTAAGTATTAAAAACGAAATCAAATTTTGTTTGAAGTGTAATTTATTTCTCCATAGTTTTCATTTTATTTTACATTCAATGTTTTAATTCGTTATTAATTTAAGAATTGATACATCTATGAATTTCGTTGTCTATATAATTTTTTTAATTCCCCCTAGTTTTCATTTTACGTTCAATGTTTTTATTTCATTATGAATTTAAGAATTGATACATCTAGAATTACCGTTGTCTAAATAATGTGCTTTTTTATCTTATACTTTTTGTTTTTTGTAATGATTTCTAGGTTTAAAATTTTTTTATTGAATAGTTTACAAAGCAACGGTTAATTTCTTTGCTATAATATTTTTAATTTAGCTTTAATTTTTTTTATAAATTTATTGTTTTAGTAAAGTTGTTTATTGTTCAATTTGTACTGATATTTATGTTGTTTATATAGTTATTAAAAAATTTAAATTATGGCTGAAAATTATCTAAAATATATGTTTTTATTGATTGGGTGAAGTTGTACATTTTTGCTTCTAAAACCCTTTGTTTCTAGAAACTTGACTAATTTTTTCAAATAAATATTAACCTAATTTTTCTTTATTTTTTTAAATAATCCTACTCCATTTATTATTTTTAAATAATCTATTTTCAAAAATATGGAAATTCAACAAATGGGTTGCCTTTTCGATTTGCATTTAATTGGCGACAATACATTCTCGTTTCTTACATTCTCATTTCTGTGTTTTTATTTTGTCACCAATCCAATTTTGATTGATGATTATTATTTGTTAAATTTTTATTGGGTTATTTTTAACTTTTACTGGGTTAGTTTGGTAAATAGGTGGAATTATGCTAAACTTTTATTGGGTTATTTTGAATTTTTATTGGAATTGTTTAGTAAATTGGTGGAATTATGCTATAACATGTTTTCATATTGTTATCAATCAAATTGGCTATTGAAATTTTTTTATTAATTTGGTTTTTAGTGAATATGTGAAATGACGCCCTTAATTGAGAAAATTGGTTATTTGAATAAATTTTTCTTCTATATCTTTGAATTTGAACTAAATATTGTACACATATTTTATGTTTATCTAATTAATACTAGAGTAAATCTGTTCCACTCATCCAATTTCGGTTGAAAATTTCGTTACACAGTCTTCGTTTATTTCGAAATTACATGACGAAATTACATGACAAAGTGTTCATGAAAACAAATACGAAGATGATTTCTTTAATAAAAAGTGATATATCTATGGATGTAAGAAAAATACCGTGTCATCTATGGAGGTAAAAACAAATATATTATTTTATATAAAATTGAGATATTTTAACTCAACTTATAATATATTAAAGAGATTTGTTTGTATTCTTAAAAAAAAAAATCTAAAATGTTTTTATAGATTAAAATTGTACCCTGTATATTTTTGACCTATTGCAACAAAAACTGGATTCAAATTATGAATTTACCAATGGCTTCTATTACGAATTGAAAGATTAATAGTCATTATTCTCAAGATTAATTTCTTAATATCTCATGGTTGGTTTTTAAACTTTTTACTATTTATGTAATTACAAAGATGAGGATGAGGAATAAAATCGAGATTTAGGATTAAAATGAGAATGTATCCTTACCCTGTCTCATTGATTTACTTAACTTACTGTAAATTAAAACTCTTGCTAACTTATATCATAAGCTTATAAGTTAACTAGTTTATAAAAATGAAAATTATGATTGAATAATCTAGTATTTGACTTAAAAAAAAATACACATTTTTAAGACAACTATTTTTATATTTAGTTTTTATTGTGTTTAGCATGAAAGTAATTAAATTAAAAATGATATTATCGTTTATTTATGATGTAGATTTAACTTTAATATGATGTAATTTTAAATAAACGATATTATCATTTTTAACTTTAATATGATGTAATTTTAAATAAACGATAATAATTGAAGTAGAATACATAGAACTTAAAAATACAAGAGAAACTATTGTAGTTGATGGAAATTTGGTTTGGAAAATTACCAGAGAAGAGGAGAGTTTATCCAACGAAGTGCTGGAAGCCATAGATCCCGATAATAACAAATAGTAAACAAAAAAAGATGAATGAATAATTGTGAATTATATAGAAAGCAATGCAGAAAGAACAAAGGTTAAAAAGAAAAAACAGGGGAAAGAAGCATACCAGTGGTTTCCCATTACCATCTTTCTTTGCATTTGCTCTATCAATTTCAAGCATTGACTTCAAAATTAAACAGAGGAGAAACTCAAGTATAAATAAGAGAATAAGACAGGGTGAGTGTTAAGATTGGAAAGTGGAAACATGATCGATCTAACGTACGAGTGGCGTGAAATGTTTTTGAGTGTCGTCATACAGAGGACATGGAAGTAAGCGCCATAGTGTCGACATGGTTTCATGACTTCATTTTTCTATCTTACTCTATTAATTCATAGGATTAAATAATAGTGATAGGTTTGATTATTTCACACATATTTTTAAAAAACTAATAAAGAAATATGATATTCATTTTATCAAATATTAACAAATTTGTTATTATCATAAAAATATAACATATTGATTTATAAGTAATATATTGGATGTTACTCATAGTTACATAATATGGACAAAATGGGTGGGAGGTCAAGTTAACAAAGCTTCATTTGTTATATATATATTGAATTTAAATTTTGCGAGTGTAAGAAGTCTATAATGTTCAATAGAATCAGTTTCATGTTGGTTATGTATCAAAATCACGCTGAGTGAATTGAGATTAGGATTGGGTGGGAATTAGGTTCTTAAATATTTTTTCGGATTTTTGATGGTTTCAAGTTTTACTTGAAAGCGATAAATGCGGAAAGTAAATGACACAACGATATATACTGGTTTCCCTCACATTCCAAGAGTACTTCAGTCCCCTTTCAATATGAAATGGATTTTTAATAATGTAGATCTTATGACAAGACTATCCTAACCTTTCTATACAAACTCTAACAAGCACACCAAGAACAACCTCTTGGATTTTACAACAAAGTGAAATAAGACAACAACCTCTTGGATTTTACAACAAAGTGAAATAAGACAACAATCTTCCCTTAATCACTCTCTTGTTTCCAATAATCCCGGACAACAAGGAATACAACTTTACAATCTTAAATTCAAAAATTCTGAAGATAAGATGTAACAAATAGACAATAATTCTGAATTTTGTATGAGTATTTGAAATTAATCTTCAATTATCAATCTAAAGATTGATTTTCTTCTTGAACAAACAACTCTTATACAGAATATACAAGTGTTGTTAGATGAAAGAGTGAAACTAGAATGATTTGGATGAAAGTTTAAATGCACAAGTTTCACTCTTTGAAAATTCTGATTTTCACACTTGATAATTTAAAAGTTTAATGATAATGAAAAGTTTGAAAATCATTTGCAAGAAGGTGAATCTCAAAGATTGGGATTATGAGGTTTATATAGCCTCTGAACACCTCTTCAAATGAGTGTAATTGTTCAAGAGATGCCATGGTTCAAGAATAAAAGAAAACAAAAGTTTCTGCCAAAAGATGCAAGTTTTTGGCCTGCTGCGCCAGTGGTAATCAGTTACCCCAAGTGGGTAACCGATTACATGCCTCAACGTTTTAATTTTTTTTTTAAAATTCTTCAGAGTAATCGATTACTAGGTTAGGGTAACCGATTACTCTAAGCCAGTTTTGCACAAAAACCTTAAAAGCAGAGGCATAATGGTTTTGAAAATGCACAAATATTTTTCAATGAATATGCAAAGTATGAGAAGGGTTTTGAACACTTGCATAAGCTACATTAAGGTTGGATTTCATACATTTCCTTTGTGCTAAACCATCTTCATGTTTTCATCAAGACTTGATACATTACTTTGACAATATGGCTCTTTGTTCTTGATCTTGATCTTTTGAAATTCTTGTATCCATCCTTGAGCCGAGGAATATATATCGTCATCAAAATCTTTGAGAAGCCATGTCTTCACATTCTCTTCCTTTTTGATGATGACAACTATTTTTGAAAGTTTGTTTCCTTTGTGCTATTCGAACAAAAACTCCCCCTTGGATGATGCTCCCCCTTAATCCATGATTTTTAGAGAGTTTTGAAAATCTTCATTTTTTGTTAGAAAAGAAAAAAAACTAACACCATACAATA